TTTAGCTCCTCAAGTGTTGGTAGGCTATCCATTATGCACTTGATTGCTGTGGCTCTTCTTGTGCTGAGTTTTCTTGACGTACAATGGACTCCATTAAAAGATTAAATATCATATCTCTCTTTTTTATATTATTACTTATATTTAAATCTAGACAAATCTTGACTACTTTTATAAGCTTAGATTACAGATTATATCTCCGAGTGTTTATTTTTTATATATAATTTAAAAGCAAGTTTTCTTTATAAAAACTTTATTTGAATTTTAATAAAGTTAAAAACATGACTTTATCTTTAATATTAAAAAAAAAAACTAATTAAGTCTTTTTTTAAAAATTCTTTATTTCAAATTTATAATGCAATTGAATTTTTTTTATAAAACTTTATATATAGTTTATTGATTTCTAAACAAATTTTATTTGCCTTTAAACCATTAATCTTGTTTATAAAAAACTTAACTGCTAAGCTATAAGACCTAAACCTTATTTTGACATAATTGTAACTATATAAAAGTAATTCTATAATGAAATAACTATAATATATATATACATTTTAATAACAAACAAACCTATTTTTTTATAATTTATATATAAACTTTGAATATATTAAACTTATTTAATGAATAAATAATAGCAATTGCATATTAATTTATTTATTTGTTGTATTAACGATATCGATTAGTTGTAACAAGATTTGGTATATAATATAGTTTATATAGTTTATTTTTTATTTTTGTAAAAATAATAATATCTAAAAAAAACTACTAAACAGCGCTAATCCCAACTGGATAATCAAACCATATCTAGTTATGCCGGAAATTTACACTCAAAATTAAGCAGGAAAGAGAACTAGACTACAATGAATTTCCGTTTATTATCATAAACATGAGAAGAGCTAGAATGTCTTTATTTATATAAATAAGACATATTGATTTATTAAGGAAAGCAGACATTCGGTGGCTCATCTTAATCCGGTCGATGAAATGGCAAATGTTGGCCGAAGCATTTGGTTGGAGCCTGCAAACTATTTGCAGCTCTAAGAACTTTGCTTTATCTAAAAAGAGTTAGCAAAAGGGAACATAAGGAACTCATAAAAAAAACAATGGTGATCATGTGATTCATGGTTTTTTTTTTTAACGATTTTAAATAAATGTGTGGATGGTTTGCCAAACGCGTTTTAAACCTTCTTTTCGTGGAACAAAGTCCCTCGAAAACTTTATATACTCCGCCTAATTGCCCGCCACAATATATATTTAATTATATAAATATATTATATGAGCGTCTTTCTTTGTAATTTTTTAAACTTCTGTTAAAGTACATAAATGGCTCCCCGGCAAGACAGAACACCTCTAGTACTTAATCGTACAACGAGAGGTGCTTCATCGCCTGGGTTTTATTTTGGTACTCTGAGTGCTATTTCTACTTTCGGCGGTGGTAATTTTGAAGGCGGTGTTAGGACATATGATAGTTACATGATACGGAACAACGTTGGAGAGCTTTATCCTTGTCATGCTGAGTATAAGAAAAAGAACATCATTAATGGAAACAAACGTAAAGTTTATTTCAATTTGGCACATGCTGTACGGGAGCATACAGTAAGTACGAAAATTTATATGGTTAACTTTATTACGGTTACATTGAAAAAATGGATTTCGTATAGTGATAGTGGACCTTTTCAGTCTACAGCATAGTAAACGAAATAAATTGTCATGAACTTTTTATACACCAAAATATGTTGATACCTATCTGATTATAAATACTATATTAGAAATGCACTTATACATTTATTTGCATGGCATCTCCTTATATTTTTTTGGGAACGAAATTTCCATTATACGATGTAATTTCGACTTACTTTTATTCTTTACGATGATTGTAGGAATCTCTTCGGGAAAGAGATAAAGTCATTGCTTTGGAACAAGAAGCTATGATGTACAAGTTCAAGCGTCAAGAAATTCAGGCTCAAGCCCGAGAATGTAACATGACAAATCACAATCGAATCGTTATATATTTTGTCATAATTGCTGTTTCGCTTTGAGATATTAATAAACCCTATATTTAAACAGTACGGCGTAAAATTCACAAGAAAAACAAGGAAATCCGCCAAAAAAGGCACGAAGTAAAGTATTTGAGGATTATAGAACGAGAATTGATAGAATACCTTGAAAAATGCGAATCCCAGTCCCGAGAAGAAGCACAACCAGTAATACAGGTTGCTTCGCCACTAGCCTTCGGAGTAAGTTTGCCACAAAATGCATTTTATTTTTGAAAACCTCTTTTTATCATATTGATCATTTTATTTATTCGCTTAGGCTAATCTATATAGAGTGTATGTGTTGTGCGCTGCTTTAATCTCTTTCCTCTTAGTTCGTGTCGTTTCTTACGGGTCCATTGTAGTCAATCGTGTGTGAATCCGATGTGCTTAGGGTAGAAAAACACCTGTTGAATTGATCATTCTTGGTATATGAAGTTTTATTAATATTTTACGCTTTTGGCATATACTTATCCGTGGTTCACGTTAGTGTAGCTTTATTATTAGATAATTGTTTTTCGTGGATGATGTCAATGTCTTTGCATAAAAGGAGAATGTTAGTTTGGCGACTCTTGTTTAGAATCAATAGTCACAATATTATCATATTATATGTAATATCTCCTGCTTTATCATCTTATCCACAGGCCTATTAAACATAGTATTAAAAAAGATGGAATGAACAGAGTTTTTCTAAATCAAGAAATCTTTACTATATCTAATGTTTACAGTCGAGTTTGACTTCAAGATCCGCGATAAAACGATCATCGTGCTCAAACTTCAAATGAAACCTTAAAAGGTTAAATGTGTATGCAAGAATATTTTTGCGACAGAACAGCATAATTTCACGAATTGAAAGATATTTTAAGTAACGATGAGATGATTAAGTGTTAATGGGGAAGGAACTGATAAATACAGTTTTTTTTTCCTTTGACCATTGAAAGTTGTAAAGGTACAGATAATGGTAACCAATCGGTTCATTTTAATTATAAAGTGCTAGTGCCGGCGCTAGTCCACATGATTTGACGGGGTAAAATTTTTATTATGGTCAAATGACCATAAATTTTTAACGTTAATGTTTCTGACAATGGTTTAAGGCTACCAGTGATTGTAGTGTTAGTCAATAAAGTTGACTTAGTTGATTAAGCTAGCCGATTTTTAAGATTGGTTTAATTGGGTATATCAATATAGGAAAGTCGTGGTATTTCGGAAACTAATTTTTAAATATCAAATTTAGCTGAATCGACTACAAACACTTGATGTATTTTTAACAGATAACTTAAAATTTTAAAATTATTTAATTGCTAATTCGCATAATTTCATACGTAGGCGCTAATTTAGGAAACTGATATTTCCACACCTCATTTTGATATTGCCACACCCTAATAAGTTTAACTATTCTAAGATTTTAATGATTAACGTCAACTTGAACTAAAAAAAAAACTATATTACTTAATACTACGTAGCACTTTAACAATTTCATTTTGTTGTTATAAAATATTATATTTAAAATAATATTTATTATTCTTAGCTTTATCTAACTAATATGACAAATTACTTATAAGTGCTTATAAAAGTAACTTTAAGATGTTACGTAGTACAAAATTTAGACCAAATATATTATAGATAATGTGTATATTACTAATAAATAGACTACCAAAATATAAAAAATAAAAATATTTCTTTAATTATTATATTGTAATATTATAGATATTTTTAAATATTATTTTATATTATTTTATTGATATTATATTAGTTTATATTATATTATGATCTATTTTTAAATCATTTTTATTTTATTATTTATATTATATTTTAGTATTATTTTTAGACTTAAATTAT